GGCCGGGGATCGAATTTTTTAAATTCAGCTCTCTATAAAAAAGGCTATGGAGGCAGTCTGATAGTGGAGAAAGTTTGCAAAACGGATGGGATTGCCTTAAAAGTCAGGCCAGCGGGTAATACTAAAAATGGATTGCAGAATAATCAAACGAAACGTGCATATCTAGGCATATCTCAATTGTCCAGAAACGTATAGTTTTGCTCATTTAATTGAGTTTGAATCAAAAGGCATCTTCAGCAATGTAATAAACTGATAATTATAGCTACATACCGAGAGTCCATACCGATAAGTCAGTGTCTTGACTGTGTCTTTTCTTTGATGAGAAGGTTGGTTGGTTGGTTTATCGGAGATTTAACGTGCGCTTTCCGCGTGTAATAATAACACTTTAGCGTATCTCGCACATGGGGTTGCACTTATACTATTGGGGGAAAAAAGCGTAATGAATAAAATAAAGAAGTACAACCCCCAAAAATGTAAATTCTAAAAACCTAATCTAAGAAGCTAAGGGGGGCGGGGGTTTGGCTTGGTGGGGATAAGAGAATAAACAATAATATGGAAAAAGTTGGGCTTGGGTAAAGTAGGCGGGCGAGCGTGTGTGTCGATTTGGCGTCTGCTGCCGTCTAGTGGAGCTGCCCGTCGAGTAGCCTGTTGGCTAGGGCAGCTTCCTCAGGGCTGAGACTCTGGAAGAGGGCTCTTGTCAGCTTTGCGGCGCATTGGGCGGTGAAGGGAGGAGTCGACTTGAGATCACAGTCAGCCAGGAAGTCGGAGAGATCCTGGTAACTGTGGATCTCATGTTCGAAGCGCTCTTGCCCCAGGAACTGGACCATGACCAGTGGAGGTGGCGGTTTCCTGGAGCTGACGTAAAGCTTTCCATGCTCATTGGAAAGGGCGATGGAGTGGCCGGGCTTGTTATGGGCTAGTACCTGGGTCGCTTGGTGGTCCAGGTCCATGTGGGGGTCCTCATCCCTACCTAGCGGGTCGGTCTGGCAGAGACTGTCGCTAAGGGAAGGGCCAGTCACCTCGAGGTCCAACACTGCTACTGGGGGTGGAGGGGCGGAGGGGTGGAGGGAAGGATCACCTCTGTCTCCATCTGGAGGACTGGAGGGGCCTTCTTCTTCTTTGGCGGCCTGGCCTTCTGCACCGGGTGGGGTGCAGGAAGGGTTGGGGCCGGAATTGGTTCCACCTGAGGCTTAGGCTTAGCCTAAGCTTTGCCCAGAGGCCTCTTCCTTTGACCAAGGTCAAAGGAGATGGAGAGGGTGGATGTCTTGGACTTATATGACGTCTTGAGGGAGTAGTCGCCAACCCGGTAAGCCAGCAGGGGCTCCAGGATGGCAACTAGCTCCCTCCGAAGTGACTTGGAGAAGTCTCTCATTATGAGGCGTGAGGTGCGAGCTTGGGAGGACACGTCTGCTCGGGGCGAGTGTCCACGCTGAGATGTTTGATGAGGTTTCTCACCAACCTTAGCGTGTAGGGGTGTGATGTCCTGGGCAGGAAATGACAGTGTTTTGACTACTCTTCTTTCATTAATTAACGTGTTTGGCATCCCTAATTAACCTTTACTAAGAATATTTTCTGCAAGTGGATATTCGCGAATGTCATAGGGCTGACACGACACGTGTTAATAACTGTCAAAGCGCTTCTAAAATTACAACACATACTTTACATCTATAGATTAGTATTATATCTACCTATATAACACTTTAGTGTCTCATATTGCGGTAGCAAACAAGGTGCTCAAAGTGAAGCCCATTTCCCTCTACATTCTCTCTATCAGAAGTGTTTGGCTTGTGTTGGGTTTGACTTGGCCCGGGCTGTCAAAATCAACTTTAAACACACAGATGTATCATCAAATGGATTCACATCTATAGATTAGTATTATATCTACCTATATACCACTTTATAGTGTCTCAGATAGCTGTACTTAAAGAAAACAAGGTGCTCAAAGTGAAGCCCTTTTCCCTCTACATTCCCGGGCGGTCCAAATCTACTTTAAACACACAGATGTATCTTCAAATGTGTTTACATCTATAGATTAGTGTTATATCTACCTATACACCACTTTATGATGTCAGAGTGTATCGCATTTAAATCAAACTGGTCCGTTAAAGTCAAGCATTTTTACTGTATTTTCTTAAGAAAATCTATGTCAGATATGTTCGATCCGACTTGGCCCGGGCTTTCAAAATCAACTTAAACCTCACAGATGTATCATCAAATAGATTCACATCTATAGATTAGTATTATATCTACCTATATACCACTTTATAGTGTCTCAGATAGCTGTACTTAAAGAAAACAAGGTGCTCAAAGTGAAGCCCTTTTCCCTCTACATTCTCAACATAGTCTCTATCAGAAGTGGTTGGCTTGTGTTGGGTCCGACATGGCCCGGGCGGTCCAAATCTACTTTAAACACACAGATGTATCTTCAAATGTGTTTACATCCGGTTTCGGTTTGCGCAGGGTATCGTGGGTCATGCATGAGCATCCAAGAGGGCGGCACATCCGTTTCCGGGAAGGAGGGGGAAAACCCCAGAGAAGCGCACGTACCAGGTGAAAAAGATTGACATTGAAAGAAGCGCGTATAAAATCCTGCATGTGTACTGTTTTTGTTTTTTTTTTCTTTCTAAAAATAGAAGAGGCGGTGGTGGTGGAGGAGGGAAGGGGTGGTGGTGGTGGTGGGTGGCGGGTGGCAGCGGGGGAGGGGGGGAGGGGGAGGGCGGCAGAGCGGGGAAGGGGAGGGGGAGGGCAGCGGCGGAGGGGAGGAGAAGGAGGAGGCTGGTTCTTTGTTTGAGTTTGAGGGTCGTCAAAGCATGAGGATGAAAAGCGTTCTTTCGGGAGAGATGCGTGGCCCTGAAAAGGGCCGTTGGTAAACAAACTGGAAACTGGAAACGACAGGAAACGGTAGGAACACTGGAACACTGGAAAAACTGGAAAAACTGGAAACGATTGGAAACTGGAAAAAACAGTGGAGCAGCATGTCCCATGCGTTAGTCACTTTGCTCAGATGATCTATCTTCTTCATACTCTACCTCCATCTCATCCTCGGACTGAAGGTGTCGTCGGCGCTTTGAAGAGTGTTTTCTTGAGGGGCTTCTGTCCCGTTTTCTTTTCCCTAGACGTGGAGTGATGCCCGCATGGAGTTTTGTGATGCATTCTTTTAGGTCGAGAACATCGACATGCATGGCTTCTATGAGATGAAGCACTTGTGTTACTTGTGTCACTGGTGTCGATGTGGACGGTGCTGCTGACGTTTTCTTTCCACTGGGTTCTTGGCAATCTGCAGAGAAATGACCTACAACTTGGCAGTTGTAACAGGGGCCCTGAGGAGTCTTCTTTCGACTGGGTTCTGGGCAATCTGCAGAGAAATGACCCACAACTTGACAGGTGTAACATGGGCCCTGGGGAGTCTTCTGCTTATCTTGACTGCTTATCTTCGGACAGACATAGTGATGGTGACCTTGAGTGTGGCACTCGGTACATGTCACTTCAGGGCAGAGCAGGTAACTGTGACTGTCGGTCTGGCACTTCATACAACTGTATCGAGGTGGCATGGTTGGTTTCATAGAATGCAGTGTGTGTGTGTGTGTGTGAGTGGCTTCGCTCTTGTTTTATAGGAGAGGCACTGGAACCCTGCTTCCTGGTTGGTTCGTCACGCAGCACCCCCGATTGGTTAGTTCCAGTGTCTGGCCTGCACCTCAGTTTTCCAAAACGGACCGACCCCTGTGTTTCTTTTCCATAGGAAATGGATTTTACCATGGGAGAGAAAGCACAACCCCTGTTCGACCAATCAGAGCCCTACATGGTTCGAGCGCAGTCTCTGATTGGTCGACAACCCAGGCTTCTGATTGGTCAGATTTCGATCCTGTTTTTTTCTGGGTGTGCATTTCGATCCTGTTTTGTTTTTCTTCATCCTACAGACAACATAACATTTATGTTTGTTAAACTTTTTTCTTCTTTTTTTAATCCCCCGCTCACATGAACAAACACAACAAAACAAAAGTCACAGGATTAGGGGCTTCCCTGTGATTTTTGTGAACACGAGGGTGACCACAAGGGCATGAATGTCTGTACACTTTGAAAAAACCCCAAAGAAACTTTGTCACTTGGGGTGAACAAGACACTCAACTCTTCTCTTCCGTGCTTCTTTGGACACCAAACGTCTGCATTTTTCGTTCACTTCTCCATCAGGACAAAACACACACAAGTAATCGCAGGGGACTTTGGCATGCTTCAGACGTTTTTTCTAGGGTTTGTCTGTGGCTTCCTATTGGCAGAGTGTCACACCGCAGCAATAACTTAACACGGTCACCTCGTCCTTGATAGAAATAGCCAGCCATGGCCATGTCATAAGGGGTCTGGGTCATCTGTTTAGGCCACATTTGAAAAGACCTCAGATGTTCTTGAAATGAATCATAGTTAGGATGAGAAGGATGACACAAGGTGTAAGAAGAAAAGGTCCCTCCAGAATGTCACTGAGTTGCCATGTGTCGTCCATAAAGAGTGTGTCATCCATAAAGTCAGTGCGTTTTCTCGCTTGTTCTCTCGCCTTTTCAGGCACCCACTCGGTATCGGGGACATCTCGGGAGGATGGCATGGCATTCATAGACCGTCTTTGTCCCATGATGACTGTGACTCACTGAAGGAAGGTCTGGGAGTTCGCCTGCTTTTATGAAAGTCTCCTCCCCCTTAAACGGAAGGTCATGACATCATCATCATCATCACGTGACGTCATCCTGTGTTTGGGCTGACTGACACACGGCATGACACACAGTGGTAGTGGTGGTGTGTACTGGAATGACTGACACCAGGCAGCTGATCTTTCAAGCATGGCCTTTTTCTTTTATCTAATATTTTATATGTTATTCTTTACTTTTTTTCTTTACTTTGGTGTGCACTGACATGACAGACAGACAGACAACGTAGACGACATCTCAACTCAGCCTCTACCCTCGGTTCGGCACCCTATTGGAGTTGAGATCAATCAAGACACAAAGAGTCAGTTCAATCAAACACTGTTTAATAATGAACAACACCAACAACCAGATACATAGGAAATACGAAAAGACAATGGAGGAGGGAGCGCTTTGCATGTCCCTACAACAACGCGAAAACGTTTCCTCTTCCATCTTCATCAAACTCTTCCATCTTCAAGCTCTTCTAGTGAAGATGAGGGTCACCATAAGATGTGGTCCTCCATCATACTGTCCCAAACAGGTCCCAAACATGTGAGAGGTCCATCAGTAAAACAAGTACAGTCTATGGCCTCCCTGAAACAGACATGACACATAACTTGACCACTGTTGCAGCTTATGTTTCTTAACATGTTGTTGTGTCGGCAGACACTACATTCACGTTGTAGGGGAGTGAGTTGAGCTTCTCCATAAGGATCCTGGTCAACGGCGTTGCAAACCATGGGCATACCTGAGGAGAAGACATTAACATCTTCCGGTGATGCTGGAGACCAAGAAGCATCAAGCAGGGTGGGTGTGTCCAGATCCATGGAAGGGAGGGTTGTCAGCTTGAGCGCTTCATGATCATCACTGTCACCGGTCGTCATCATCACAGGCGCATTCGGTGAATAGGTTGGCTCCTGAGGGATTTGTTCCCACCACTGTTCTAACACGGACTGCGCTGAACTGGCATCAGGGGAAGGAAGGATGGGTGTCCTGTCAATCCAACAAGAAAAGAACCTTTCAGTATACTCACTATCATCGTCATGCATTCGTAATATTCATCATCATCATCATCATTATCATCATCATCATCATTATCATCATGGCATACACATCCCAAAGGATAGCATGGTACTTACAGCTGTTCTTGATGAGAGATCTTCAGAGACAATTTCTTCCGTGGTCGTCTTTTTTGCAGGTGTTGCAGGTGTTGCAGGTTTCAAAAAGGATGTCCCCTTCGTTTGGGTGTCTGCTGCTGCTGCTGCGGCTGCTGTGCTGTTGTGATGGTGGTGGTGGTGGCAGTTGCTGCTGTGGTGGCAACTGCTGCTGTGGTTGTTGCTGCTGCTGCTGCTGCTGGTTTGCTTGTTTTTTTCTTCTGGGTCTTCTTTATCGTCTTCTTCGGTGCTACTTTCTTGGGTTCAGTCAGTTTCCTCATCTTTGAACGTTTCTTGGCGTACGCGTCGTCGGCCTTAATCTTTGCACACAACATGTCGTACACTTCACCACACAGTTCAGCAGTCATGTCACCATTTCCATCTCCACTGCTTCCTTTACCACACATGTCGCTCCGTGTCTTGGCATTCATCCGTTTCGACATGATGTTGTCCGGATTTTCTGTTCGTTGTTTCTTTCCAAGTCTTCACGGATGTGTGTCAACACTTGATGGTAATCTCTCCAAACACGTGTTTCTTCCAGATAAAACGCCAACAGCCAACACAACGAGAGGAACATCAATCAGAGGGATGATGTTGTTGCTTGGTCCGTTCAGTGAAAAGTGATGACCGGAGAGCGTTGGTCATATTAAAAGGCACTGATGTCCTGCCTTCTGATTGGTCCGTTCCAGTGCCTGGTCTGAGTCTCAATTCTTCCAAACTGGACTGACCCTTGTGTTTCTTTTCCATAGGGTCAGGCTTGTAGCATAAGAGAGAAAGCACAACCTCGTTTGCACCCATCAGAGGGCCGCCTAAGGCAAAGGCGGCCCTCTGATGGGTGGAAAACCCAAGCTTCTGATTGGTCAGATTTCAATCCCGTTTTTCTGTAGGTGTCCATGTCGATTCAGTTTCGATCCGTTGTGATGAAATAAAATAAAAAATGATCTAGTCGACCCTGCGACCCACCAGGGCAAGGGTCTCGTACAGCGTGACCCAAGCAGCGATGGCGACATTGAAATGAGAATGGGGGGTTTGGAATTCTTCCTTGTGGGTATAGGTCACTTCCACCATGTGTTCGTTGACAACGGTGACATCCTCGATGGTATTGCGTTCATCCCTCCACAAGGCAAAGTACTGTACAGGATCGTTCATATAGATGTTCTGACTGTAGTCTAATCGTTGTCCAAACTTGCCCCAGAGCGAATTCAGTTGCATCTTGGCAATCGTGCGAAGTCCTGTTTTTTTTTCGATGCGGTCCTTGCCCAACCCAATGCCTTCTTTGTCATAGATCTCCTGGATGTAAGCGTCATGATCCTTACATCCCTCGGCTTCGCTGGCTTCGAGCTTCTCCTTGAAATGACGATCGATATAAGTGTCAAAAAGTCCTACTTGCTGGGTGTCGGTGTCATGCTGTGCAAAGGTGTCAAAATGCCAAACGTCGTAGATCTGAAGCACCTGGTAGTCATACTTCTTCACGGCTTCATGGAGTTCTATGGTGACGTACGTACCCACCCATGACCTCTCTTTGTCCGTGTGCTTGCAGGGGGAGTCTGACCGGGTATCGGCACATGTACGGCACAAAGGACAGAGCAGTTTGTCACCCGATCTGTAGGGCAGTAGCGGATGATAGGACACGACATTGGATAAGTCCTTTCAGCTCAAACAACGTGTCCACAGGGAAATGCTCCGGTCTTACAAATGTAAGGATAAAGGGAACAAATATCGATGTACTTGATGGTTCTTCTTGGGCTTCATAGCATAATCGCTTGGCATTGGTGCGTCCTCCATAGAAGGCATCGCGAGGGTTGAGTGGTCCAGGGACGTGGATACAGTGGGGTCCCTGCAAGAAAGCACGCAGAGCGGAGTTCTCCTGTTGCATTTTTGTAAACTCGTGCTCCCACAGGATGACGATCCGTTTTACCTCAGGGTGACTCAGGCGGTAGCGGGTGTCGGTATAACGTGCTCCCAACGACGTGCCCAGGACTTGATTAGGTTCCCAACATTGGGTCTTGTGACATGCCTGACACCCATTCAGAAACACCCCAGGAATTCGTAGATGGTGGCTGTCGCTGGATCGTAGCCATCCACACTGTACCGATGTTGACCCTCTCCACACGTGAACTCTTTTCACCTCCATTCCTGGCGTGCTGGAGGTGCAGATTGGGGTCCGTCTCCATCAGATAATTTAACCAGTGCATACAGGCCTGGGAATAGTTTCTTTTGGATTGGTAGCCTTGAGGTGGAAGAATGGCAATGGTATTGGGTTTCAGATCGTGTTTTCGGAAGGATTTCATGGTGAACGCAGCAGCTGTCATCACCTCTACAAAGGGATCCATGCGAACCGACCTGATGGCGTTCTGTCGGAAGTCAGCGCATCCCCGTCTCAAAATGTCCACATCGCTCTGGCAGTAGGCTAAAAGTTCTCCTTGCAAGTCAAACAAGGCTCCTTCTTGCACTTTTTGGGTATGCCACTGGAGGAAGGCTGTGCGTTCCGCGGGAGACATGCCATCGGGATCGTACATGACGGCTGGTGGATAGGGACCTCTGTAGGTCTGGTTGGCTTCGGTATTGAAAAAGTGTGGAAAATACCCTTTCTTCAGTTCTTTCAGCCAAAAGCTCTTTGGAAATGCTTTCAGTGGGTTGGGTATGAAATTTAAACTGTCTTCGAAACACAAGCGTCCCAGGGTGACCTGCAAAATCTGTTGTCCATTTCGAATCTTGGTGGGGAGTTTCACCAGAAGGGGGTACAGGCCCTTCAGGATCAAGTGCAAATCATAGGATTGGGCATTATGTGCCATCACATAAATGCGGTCCTCCTTCTGGACTGTAGTGGTGGTGGTGTTCTTGTTCTTTGTCTTCTTTCTCTTCCCCTTTTCCTCCTCCTCCAACGGGGTGAGCGCATCCACTTCCATGGCATCCTCCCCTTCCAAATTCGCCTCCTCCTCCTGGGGTGATGAATGTCGTTGACGTTTTGAAGAGTGCTTTCTTGGGGGGGTTCCATCCCGTTTTCTTTTCCCAAGGCGTGCTGTTGCCCCCTTGCGTGTGCTGTCCTCCTCTTCCTCTTGGTTCTTCTTCTTGGGTTTTTCAGCCAGTGTTGTCAACCACACACACACATCATGTCGTGTGGTGGGGCCTCGAAACACGATCTCACCGCTGGGACCATAACCTTCTTCTCTCCATGGACAGTGTTCGCACAACTCATTGCTCACTTCACTGATGCATCGTCCACATCCTAACTGCACCACCCACAAATTTGAAATGTGTTCCCCCGTGTCTTGCATGCATTCAAAATCATAGAAGACATATTTGATGTTGTCTCGTATGTGATGTTGTTCCTCTTCCCCCTCCTCCTCATCCTCTTCTTCCCCCTCCTCTTCCTCATGGGCTTCACGGAGGCGTGTCATGTAACAGCGATGGTCTGGGGTCATGGGTTCTCGACACACTAAGCAGGGATGTTCTTCATCTGAGCACTCGTGGTGAGCCATGGGGGTCTCCAAGACGCGAACCAGCTGAAAACAGGTTCGGCACCTGTGAATCGATTGACAGGCGCTGGGTTTTCCCTCTGACGGTGACTGAAGATGTTGGGTGCAACACTGTTGATTTGGGAACCAGCGTTGACATGTCAAGCAAGGGATCCCGGGCTCTTCCTTGGGAGTGGAGGCAGCGGTGGCAGCGGTATTGCTTGGTGCAGGGATGGTTTTCGGGATGGTCGTAACGGTGGTCGCAGCTTTCGCAGTAATGTGTAGACGCATAAAAAGCTGGCATGGAAGTGATCACATCGTAGTGCTGATCATGATGATATAAATGCAGCACGGTGGCGTTGGGTGGAGCCTCATCACACTTGTACATCAGTCTCTGGTCCACCTCTTGACTGTAGACTTTCAGTTGATAATTCAGGGGGGCCAAGGCGCGTCCCACGCGTGCTAGTTCGTCCAGGCCCTGACAGGGACCTTAAGGCAGGCCAAGACGTCGAAACAAGTCCCGTGCCCGTGTGACTTGAATGCGACTCGATTCGTTCTCGTCAGTCTCATTCGCTGGTTGGTCCATTCTGTGGTCAGAGGGTTGGGCTTCTGGGCATAATGCTGTGCCACCACCAGGGCCCGTGCCAAACAGGATTGATCTGTGTTCTTGATCCGTACAATACCTTGTTTGCGTGTTAAAAAGGCTTCAAGTCCAATCACGTTTTTCACACGGCCACTGCCTGATCCTAGCCTGTCGGGATCTGCTACGTGTACTAAAGTCACAACCATGGTGGCATCGATGTTCAGGTCTTTGTTGGACTGTTGAACTTTTTCCACGGCATGCAAAATATCTAGCCCATGGAGATCTTCAAAGCGACGAAAGGGAATCCGTATGGGGGTGTTCAAAGCGGAATGATCCATACCTAGACCAAGACGATCTCCCTTCTGGCCTGTGATCTGTTGATAAAAGTCATCGATCACCCTGTCCAATAAACCCGCCAGTTCAATGGGAATGGGTCCGGTGGTACCGTGTCCAAGTAGTCTTGGTTGAAAGTCAAACAATAGGTATGGTTAGCAGTTCTTAATCGTCTGGAGCGTGTGGTGTCTTTCCTCTCCAAACGATAAGGCGTACTCTGGTTGCTCGTTATGATAGCGATGCGTGTCTGATGAACGTCTGTACTATAAGATTGACTGAACGTCTGACTTATAGAAAACCCTTCCCCAAAACAGGATCGAAACCTGACCAATCAGAGGCTTGGGTTGTCAACCAATCAGAAGTCAGCACCAACCAATCAGAAGACAGCACCCGAGCCGAGTTGTGCTTTCTCTCCCATGGAAAAAAACATTTCCTATGGAAAAGAAACACAAGGGTCGGGTCGTTTTCGAAAACTGAGGTGCAGGCCAGGCACTGGAATGGACCAATAGGCGCACTGTGTTTTGGACCCATCAGGAAGCAGCGATTTTCACTACGGTTCTTCTCCTATAAAACAAGAGAACAGCCACTCGAGTGGGTCAGTGTCACTTGTGAAAAAAAGAAAATCATCATCATCGCATCAAGAATGGCTGAGACAAAGAAGAGTTGTACGACGACGTGTGACGGAGATATGGTGACTGATAGTGCAGATACTCGTGGATGCTGGAGTAAGAGTACGAATGCTCATGATAAGATGTCGCCGCCCAGTAACACACCATCGCCCTATTATCTACGCTTTGAAAGAAGACTTGCTTCGTTTGAGGCGTGGCCGACGCAAATGAATCAGACTGCTGAAGAGATGGCCCATGCGGGTTTTGTCTACACTCAGGGTGCCGATGGCGTGTAATGTTTCCAATGTGGTGTGCGGCTGAGACGATGGGAGTCCCATGACGATCCATGGGTGGAACACCACAAGTGGTCCCCACACTGCGACTACCTCAAACTAACCGGTCTGGTGAGACATAAGAAGAAAGCTACAGCTACACTATCTCTGCGAGGAGAATGTGAATCAGAAGAACACGAATGGTGTAGCATGGCCGGTTGCCTAGGAGGACATTTCCTGTTTCCTGCGTTCCTGTTCCTGTTCAAGTTCCTGTTCAAGTTCCTGTTCATGACTATTACCGCTTCCTGTTACCAACAAGCTTTTTTCTTTGTTGGACACACAAGTGGTGCCACGCAGGGCACCCAGATGGCATACCCAGACGATATACCCAGATGGAATACCCAGATGGCAACAAGTACCACTTCGACGATCCTTGTCCTGCAATAAGATTGGACATGATGTTTCTTCTTTGACAGCAGCAGAAAAGTTTTTCTTTTTCAAAAC